CAATTGTTTCTTCCTTTGACAACACAACATACATGCTGTCATGATGTTTTCCTTGATCTTTTTCCATTGATTTATGGTTGGTTATTAAAATAATGCTAATTCACTCAAGTGACAGCATCAAATTCTGCAGCTGGGTGTAACACTAGTGCACCACTTAAGCCGCCAGTTATTTAACTAAACCAATGTTGGTGTGAGTAAAATATTTCACTTACTTGAAATAGATTTGCCGATTTATTTGTTTATTTATTTATTTATAATATACTGTAATACATTAAACACACTGCAAGTATTTTTAATTTATATACTTGTTTCAAGGAAAAGGAGGCTACCATTATACCTGTAGGTGAAGTTGACCAGAAATTTATGGTGACTATTACATGGACCATTAAAACTCCTAATCCAGAATTCATGACGTGACTTCTGTTCATTCATCCTAAATTTACCACTGCTCGTAGTTTCAAGAATTAACACAGTCATTTACTGAATATTCTCAAAAAATAAACTCAAATCAATTATTTATAGGAGATAAGTATTATGACTGCAAATATACAGATATGCATTACTGACCACCAACACAAGGACCAAGGTAGCCACAGGCGGTCACAGTCAAGGTCACTTTCCTTTTCTTGTCACTGGCAAATGGGGGGGTGATGATGTATATTGTTCTTTATGGTATGTTAGACTGGTTTAATATATTTTTATTATTTTAAGATACCGGTAATTCTACTTTATCCAGCTCTCAAACGTAAAGTTTCAGTTTGTGTCACTAGTAATCTTGTGAGTGGCTTCCATCACCACTCTTGGACACGCTAAACCGCAATATTTAAGAGGTAAGAATTTTATCTCTGGTGTTTAAGACGACCCCTAACTTTGGGCTGTTTTTTTTTTTTTGTTCAAATTCCGTCTTGTAGGCCGAGATATACGGTAATTGAAATAGAGACCGGGCCGACCCCCAAACTCCACTTTTTGACGACACAACTATGTTGTAGTAAAAATTTTATCTTAACTTTATGATGGTATGCACACGCAATTAATAATTAAGAGAAATATCAATAATATTAGGTTTTTAACACTTACATTAGTAGAAAAGTGGGCACACGGGATGGGGGTTGGTTCCAAGCAGAGGGCAGATTATTGGCCCTCACCTGTAACTTGTATCAATTGTATCACTATCCACCACAGAGGCTTGCAGGGCCTCTTTGTCAAATCCCCAAAGTCCATATAAGTCCATATCCTCACTATAATTATCACTATCACTGACTTGGGGCTGTGGTGGGTGGCGGTGAAGAACTCGGAATGACTGGCCCGCTTACACAACATGGCGGAGGGCGGAGAGGTTTGATCCAGCCTCCGCTGACCGCGGGAAATGCATCCTGCAGGGTATCGCGTAAACGTGGAAACGCGGAATGTGGGACCGCGTAAAGTGAGGGTTGACTGTATTTTCAGCCGGACGCTCCTCTTAAGAGGAATAGTGGTGTATTTCTAATCAAATTTAGAAAGAGGAGAATTTGGTCCTCATGTAATGTCTTCATTTCCTATGTATATTATTGAAGAGTTGCAGTAAATAACCGTGAATATTTGACTTCCTAAATGTAATGTGTGCAATAGGCATTCTTTGACAAATGATCTCTTCTATTCCATTCTTAGATGCAGTAGTTTAGAATTTCAATTGGTTATGGCTCCTTGATAATAAATGAAGGATCAGAGGGGAAGAATTGAGTGCTCTTATTTTCCTCTTTCCTCCTTGGTGAGATTAAGAAATAACATGCTCTAAGAGGACTGGTATATGAACTCCATTGCCTAGTGTGGTCAGAATCCTATGCATTTACCGGGATGGTTTGACCCCTGATCAGAAGTCTGACTGGCCCAGAGTTAATCTCTAAATCATATGGAATCATATCTTTGACCCTGATTCATCTGGGTGAAAAATATGGCTTAATGCAAAAGAGATATGGGTTTTGTCTGCCTGGACAGCTTATCCCGATGTTAAACCTGTTAAGCCCCCTGGTAAGGGATGGATCTTTACAGAGGGAGTTTTTGGTGTATGAAATTTTTTCCAGGTCATAAAATGAGATTCCATACTTCAATCCTTTTATTTTATATTTTTTATTTTAGTTTGGATCTTGATGCTTGCAAGAGTCGTCTAAGAAAAGCTCGTTCACAGGATGGGCAGTCTGCAGTAAGTATATGTTTATGGCACGTCTTTGTTCCATAACATGACAAGCATTATTGTTTTAGTTTGATTTTGCAATAAAATTAATGCAATTTTTCTTAACAATGTAACTAACTAAAATTTTGAAACACAGTTAATCCTTGATTATTGTGGGGTCTAATTACTTGGAGAACCTCTTTTATAGTAAATTTGTGCAGATGGAACATATTTTATGGGAAAATTTGGGTTGCATTTCTGGATTTTAAACATGCAGTACTGTACTGATATGTTGTTATTCCTCAGAGTCTCACTCTATATTTAAGATATGATAGTGCATCCCACAAGCCTGACAGCCCATTAGGGACAGTGGATACAACACATTGTATCCCAAGCCTTTGCTGCTCTAGGAGGCAACATGGCTATCACTTCACCCAACTGCCTTCACACCCCATTTGTAATGGGGTATCGAAATCCTGGGGATTTTTTTGGAAACCCTGTTGTATTTGGATTGTCTGAGCCATGTCTTTTCAGTATCTGCTTACCTGTCAGACATATTCCTCTGGAATAAGAATTAGGCCCATGCTATGTATGAGCAACATGACATTCAAATCTTTGCAACCTGACAGCCTGAGAGAGCATTGACAGAGGCAATAAAAAGCTGTCTTGACCGATTTTGCTAGAATAAAAGAGAAATGTATTTTACATTTCACAGTTATTATGCATCTTTTAGCATAACAGAAAATGCAGTGGCAAAAAAAGTACCTCATATTGTCAGTAAAGGTATGGCCTTACTCGAAGTTGAGAGAGTAGAAGTAGATTTACATAATTTAGTTATCATAGTCAATTACGTATTCCAAAAAATAATCTTGACCTGTTTTACTAAGAATTTAACTCAAATCTGTTTCACATTTGACAATTTTTACGAGTTATATTAATCTTCAGGTTTAACAAAAAATCTGTGGCAATTTACTCAGTATCAAAAGACCAGGTATGATTTTACTCGGTTGAGACTGCAGGGGAAAAAAAACACAAAATCTAGTCATCATGCTCGAAGATGCAGTCCATGAAATAAAAAATTCTGGGTCTTCTTCATCTTCCTCTGTCTTCTCTGGGGCCTCCATCAACACATCCACCAGCTCTTGTAGCATGGTGGTACCTTCTGTCCACTTGAACTCCAATTTTCCTTCTGCAAGATCCCAGCCTTGAGCTTCTGGTGCAGGAATGGCTTGGGTTGATTTGTCTGGCTGATTCCATACAAGAGCTTGATAGTTAGCCATTTTGATGTGCATTTTCAGAGGATCCCTGCAAGGAGGCTCTTGTCTACTCCATCACAACTTGTCAGCAATGCTCCATGTTTGCTTATGAAACATTGCAGGAATTTCTTGTGCTTCAGTTTATTGATGATTTTTTTTTATAATCCTCCATAGAGAAGGCACGTAGTGCTCAAGTTTAGCAACACAATGGCAGAAATTTCTTCAGAGTTCCCAAATTGTGCGAATGTGCCAAGAAACTCGAGGTGTTGCCTGAAGATCTTCATCGTTGTAATCTTTCCCTTCTGACAAATGCACTCATGGTATCACAACCACTGAATGCATGTACTGCAAGAAGAACTTGGCAGATCTCTCTCCCCTCATCCTGAATCACGCTTTGTATGTCTATGAGTCTTCTTTGGTTGCCAACTCCAGTGTCAAACAGAACATTCAGTCTGATGTTCTGTGCAAACTTAAGCAGAAGAATGAACACATCACTGTCTGGAGATTGCACATTTATAGTTGCTTATACTTTTTTACTTTTATCCTTTTCACCACTGATGGACTTGTTAGCTGCTTGGGTGGTAGGTCACGTCTCTGTTACGCACTATTGGCAAGTACTGGGCATTTACTGGCTTCAGGATGTATCTGAACCTGTGCCAGTGTTGGTCAAGTCTGGTGCTGTCACAGCACTGTCTGGCAGATTGTTTCAAGAGTTCACAATTCTCACTCTGAAAAAGTTTGCCCACACAGTTTACTGGACTTGAGGCTTCTTCAACCTTGAGCTGTTACCCCTTGCCTGTAAGTAGTACCTGTATATACAGGTACTCCTCGACTTACGACCACCCGGACATACGACCGCCGCAGTCGTACAATTTTTTTTTTCAAATTACGTTTTTTCAAGTCCCAACGTTAGTGATCGCGCTGTGTACTGACAAAAATTTTTTTTATAATTTCCTTTAAAATGGCTGGCAAGTGTAAAAGTGAGAGTTCTCGTGGTGCTGAAAAGAAAACGAGACGCCCATTTTAGATTTTCTATGTATTATTTTCGCATTTTCGACTTACGACCTGGTTGTCTGTCCCTAACCCCGTCGTAAGTCGGGGACTGACTGTACGTACTAGGCAATTGCAGGCGTTCTAATCTCCCTGGGTAATTGAGGTGCCGTAGTGCAGGCACCAGTCTGGTGGCCCTCCTTTGGACATTTTCAATCCACTGACAGTCTCAGGGATCAGATGGGGTGACAGTACTCCAGACGGGGTAGCACCTCATTCTTGAAGAGCGTCTAGATATCGGGACGACCTTCTTACACAGGTCCTTTTCACATTCGGTCTCTATGAATGCAGTTTCTTTGTTCCTTTGAGACATGTGATATGCCTCCTTACTGTTGTTATGACCTAGTGCATCCTCTTACAATTCGTGACATGAGCTGTGAGCTGCAATGTGCAGGCAATGGAACACAATCTTTGTGCATGCTTCCTCTTGCATGGAGCTTAGTTCCTCAACATCTCCTGTAAAGGTCTTCTGCCCATCAGCACTCATAAGACAGGTGTACTGTACTTGTCTGCACAAAGTAGATCTTTCTGCCCAGTAGCTTCTGTGCATATTTGTCCTTTTTCCATTCATTCAGAAGGAAACAGGTAAGGCTTTGCTTGTTTTTGTCATTTGACAAGAAACTTTTCCAGTCACTTGGGATCTTTGTCATGGGACCTTTGAGCAAATATGCTGTCGATGAACCTCTTTGATCTCTTTCAATACTTTTGATTGAGAGAGGATGGTAGGAATCGGCTATAAAATCCAAACGTGATTCTTTTGGAAGCTGTTCAAATAGACTCTGATAGTTCTCCATATGTGGTAGATACGGTCTCTTGTGCTTGGAACAAAGCATTTCCATCAAAGATGTAGTTGTTTTTGTTTTGAGGAGACTTTTCTGTTGTGTATGTTTCTCTTTCCATCAGGTGCATATCAAAATATATATAATTATATATACAATATATTCAACATTATATAAAAATAAGCATTTTTTTTTTTTTTTTAGCAAAGAACATATTCAAGCTCAGTACATAACCTCTCATTATTTTGAATTTATGTCACCAAAGTCTAAGTAACTTGGAAAGATATAGACTAGTGGACTACCATAGATTAATAATATAATATTAATATGTATGTAATTATATGTTAATATGAATATAATTAATATGAATGTAACAATAGAATAGAATTGACTGTCATGAACCCATCTAGAACTGGTCAGATTTAGATAGTACTTAACTTCAAACGTGTACTGTCACCGCACCCAGAGGATGATTTTTGGCAGACAACCTGAATTCAAGAGCTAAGAGGCCAAGGTGTATGGGGATCACCAGCCCATAAAATCCTGGGGGGAAGGGGGCTAGTAGTAGTAGTATTAGTAGTCTAAGAGCTGGCTCATGGTCTATTTGGTCCCTATTTCCATTTCCATCAGTATGGCCAAAGTTTAAAATTGGTGAAAATCCACAGTTCTGGGAAAGTTCAGTGCAATTTCAGGATGTAGATTCCAGTCACATTTAACTTTTGTGAAAGGATCCACTGGCTGTTTCATTAGAGCAAATAATTTGGATAAGATAATTTTAGATACAAGAGGCTATATTACATTACTGTATTATGTAAATGATTATCCTTTGGAATAAAGACTCATGGGGCATTAATATCAATAATCACTTTTTATTTTCTAATTACTTCTAAAATGTTGTTAGCATCTATTCTCACCTTGTCCCTTGGAGAATATCAGTCCAAAATATTAGATTAAAAATAAATAAAAAATTACAAGCAGTAAATGTCAGGCTTTAGGTGGTCATGTCCCTTCCCACTTCATGTTTGGTTAAAGTTAAGTTTGTGTGTTGAGGTGAGGGTCTCCTCCCTGCTATTGCCCAAAACATTTCAATACATTTGTCCCTTTACAGAGCCTTTGCAATTTCTTCCTACACAAGTTGTGGTAATGACATTAGAGCACAAACACGGGAAAATATAAGTGAAAAGGAAGACATATAAGAACTATTTAAAAACAGCAAAAGCCAACTCTAGCCTGTCAGCCAAGTACAGTTCTACTGTACTACCAACTATCTGGTCACTGTTTGGGTCAGTCTTTCTCTCTCACTCTGAAATATTGTACACATAATCTGGAAGCTCAAAATCTCTCATTATGCTGGGGGTAATTAAGGCTTATTTATTGTTCAATCCACTTGGTTAAAAAGGGGACAACCTGCACTCAGAATGCATCCTATTTTCCCCATAAATTCTTAATTTCAGTTTTTATAGTTTCCTTGTCCACAGCTATCTCCGGGAACTTAGACCCTTCAGAGATGGATGGTTTACTAGGATTTAATATCTTAACTTCTGTTGTTGTGTTTTTTAATGGCATTGAATGTACACCCACCGACCCACAAAAGCCATGTCGCCAATCCTCCTGAACCATGAACCCCGAGATTCAGACTCGTGAATCCGAAGCATTTATGGACAGAATAATGCATCAGTGTCTACTGCTTCGAGTTCACGAGTCTGAATCTCGGGGTTCGTGGTTCAGGAAGAGAGGTGATAGGACTTTGGTGAGTGACCATACATTATAGGATGAAGTCTTAAATTTTTTCTCAACTAGGGAGGATTGTTCGAGTCCTAAGATAAGTAGATTTGGCTAATGTTAATAACTAGATAAGTCAAGAGCTGGTGTACTGCTACTTTAAGATTTTGAGTGAAGTAGTAATGACTTTTGGCTGTCATTGTAAATTCGGAAAACTGCTCATAACAAAGTCATTTGAAAATGATCAGATTAATATTTTATCTTATATTGTGCTGAGATGATATTCTTTTAGCAGATTCCATTGGGGAACTTTTGTACACCCCTTCTAATAAATATGAAAGCACACCTATTCAATAATTGAACTTATACAGTCGCTTCATTTTAAGTACACAAATTAAGTGTTTATTCTGTCCTTTAATTAGCTATCCATATTTTTCAGTTTAATTACAGTGTATGTTTTTTATTGAACCCACTTAGCCTTTAGGCAAAAGCATTTGTAATCAGCATTATTGCTGTAGTTTGCTAAAAACAAGCATTGCAGTACAGTAGTAGCATAGTTGACAAATTCTTTGGAATTGACAAATATTCTCACATTTGATGTATAGTTTGGACCTGTTTAAAATATTTTGCCTTGGCCGGTGTTACCCTTATTATTTATACAATACTGTATGGTGCTATTCCATTCAGCTTAAACTAAATTCTCTCACTATGACACATGTAGAATCTCTTATCAAATCTTAAAGTTTTAATGTCTGTGGCAATCACCACCGGTATGTCATAGTAAGTACAATACAATATACATCCTATTGTCACACATTATTATACTCAATTAGTCTAAGTTGTTTTTTTTATGATATATAATACTAACATCTTCAGTTAGGATAATTTTATCCAAACTGTTTATCTCATTGCAAGCAAAGGGATGCTGTGGATCCAAAAGTCTTAGTGGCCCAGGTAAATATCTTAATAGAGTTACGGGATACATATTTTCAAAGTTATCTTCAGTTGTTTTGACATAGTGCATTTTTTCTTTTGTTTGTGGGTTCACAGGTAAGTGAACACAACCCTCGGTTTTTGTATTTGGATAAGCCAGTCCCATCTAATGTTTATATTCTCATTGTACAGTATCAAATACCTGTATAGTATTGCAATCACTAAATAAAGTTAGTTTTATATATTGGCCAATATAGACATGTCTTTCAGTGTCCAGGTGATCCTTAAATTGAGGCAGTACGGTAGTGTTGTACTGTACAGTACAGTAATATCTCCGTTAGCTGGAATCCCTGAAACCCAGAAATCTCTTATAGCCGGAATTGAAATTTGCTCGGAAAATCATTCCCAAAGCGGGAATTTTCTCCAAATTTCCGGCTTTAGGAACAAATTTTCCAAGGTTGAAAATCGAGAGAATTTTCTGAAAATTTCTTGAATAAAGATGAAAGTTAAAGTATGGAGATTATGATAAGTATAAGTATAAATGAGCAAAGTTGTATCCTTTCAACATTACATTACATGACATTTTAAAATATGAAGTGAGAAAGCAGAAAGGTGTGGGTGATGAGAGAGATGGAGTGGTAACATGCACCAGTGTTTCCAAGCGATAAACTCCTCAACAGCTGATCTTTTAATTCGCCTCCATGCAGTCACACAGCAAGACCCTCACTGGATGCTTGTTGTCTTAATTCCCGTGTGTGTGTGTGTGTGTGTGTGTTTTGAGCTTGCCAAGCACGTTGTAGGATTTGAAGAAGTTGATGAAGAGTTTGTTCAGGTATCAGGTGGTGAGGTGACATGCCAAGACACTTATACAGCACACACATTAACAGCACTACTAAACCATTGTCTTATAACATTTTACATTATAATTTATATTTTAAAATTAATTGATACATGATAGCTCGACAGGGCTACTTTTGCACTTGGACAACTGATCAATAAATAAACCAAGGCATATGGAGACTTATTATACACTACATGTCACGAAGCTTTGAAACTGCAACAATGTAAATTATCACAAACTGTACTCAAATGTACTAAGTTAATTACTAAAATTATTATGTAGTATGGTGCAAAATAAGGGATGTTTATACTCAAATTAATCGCTATCTTACAATAATTCCAGCAATGCAAATTATATTCTCGTAAGTCAAGTCTGTGACATTGTATAAGCGTTAATCTCTCCTCCTTTTGCTGTGGGGGGTAAAAGTGACCGCGCCACCCCCCTCCCCCAAAGGGTCACCTCACTGTTTGTCTAAAGTACGGACTCATTCATGATACTATAATGTTTGTTTTTCATTAATTAGTACGGATACGTTACTGTAATACTCTGTGCTTGTTAGTACATGTACCCTTCATATGCAGTAGAACGTCAATTTAAAGCAATTCAATTTAAGATTATTGATTTAAAGCAACACCCACAATTAAGGACAATGTTTTAATTTAAAGCAAATCTTTCCTATTTTGCGCGAGTCAATCTGGTGCATCATATTTTAAAATTCACACCTAATGTTTCTCTGGACATGCTACACTGTGCTAAGGGCAAAGCTGTACTGTACATGTACTCAAAATAATGGACTAAATGATTACTAAAATATTTGTCTTGTGCAAACTATAGCATGTTTATGTTCAAATTAATCAATATCTTATAAGAATTTCAGCAATGTAAATTATATTCTCCCCGGTCACTTTTGTGACATTTTATAAACAAAAAACAAAAATTCAAGCTAAAGGACATAAATAAACAAATAAATACTTCACTAGACCTTCGGCCCCAACTGTCAAACGTGTTACTGTCACCCCCCCCCCACCCTCTTCCCAGCCAGGGTTGGGTGGTTATAAACTTAAAGCTTTTATCTTATATAATATCACAGTCTAAAGTTAGGAGAATATATTTTGCATTGCTAGAATCCTTGGAAGGCAGCGAATAATTTGAATATAAACGGCATATATTTTGCACAAGAGATAAAGATTTTAGCCCTTTGTAATAAAATTAATTAGAACATTTCAGTTCAGTGAAATATTTTAAGAGAAAAACTTAGTCACTCTTAAGGACAGATAAATAAATAAGCACTAGACCTTGACATCAACTGTCAAACATATCACCTCACCCCCCCCCCTTCTTTCCATCAGCTGATCGCTAGTAAACAGACCATTTCACATCCAACAATTTTAGCTGTGTTGATTTATCAGTGTTTGTTTTAACATAATACAGTGAACCCTCACTTTACGTGGTCAATTGAACCCACGGAGGCCCGTGTAAAGCGAGAAACGCGTAAAGTGAACAACATAACATATGGGATTAAATGAAATAGAAACCGGCTGACCCCCAAACTCCACTTTTTCCGACACAATACCTATGTTCTAGTAAAAATAACATCTTAATTTTATGATGGTACATGCACACAATTAATACTTAAGAGAAATACAGTTGCCAAGTTAATGTCCATTCAAATAATGGACTCGACTCCCTCCCCCTCTTCTCACACTACACTTGCTGGCTCTTCCCTCTCTGAAAAATGTTTGGGGGAAAACCACTAGATTTTAAGGTATAGTCATAAATAATACCTCAAACTAAAGTTAGGATAATATAATTGACATTGCTGGATTCCTTGTAAGACCAGGAATATTTTGAATATAGTCATATATTTTGCACAAAAGATCACATACTCAGAGTAAACAAAATACTTAAAGTAGATCTAAAATTTGTATGTCTAATGCAAAATCTATGATGTTTATATTCAAAATGATCATCAAATTGTAAGAATTCCAGCAATGTAATTTATATTCTGGCCCGATAATTTGTATGAATTTTATGAGCTAAAACAAATATCTTCAATAAATAAACAAAATATACTTACCGAAATACTATCTGTCAATCAAAATACCCCACCTCCCCCCCTCTTCCCACCTGCTCCCTACCAGAGAAATGATTGGGTTATAACAGTATATTTACATTTTTAGTAATAAATAATACCTCAGACTAAAGTTAGGATAATATAATTGGCATTGCTGGATTCCTTGCAAGACCAGGAATATTTTGAATATACACTTCATATATTTTGCACAAAAGATAACATATTTGCTCTGAGTAAACAAAATACTTGCATTAGATCTAAAATTTGTATGTCTAATGCAAAATCTATGATGCTTATATTCAAAATGATCATCAAATTGTAAGAATTCCAGCAATGTAAATTATATTCTGGCCAGATAATTTGTATGAATTTTATGAGCTAAATAAAAAAATTATACTTCACCCGCTTATATGAGTAGATGCACTGCGTAAAGTGGGAATTCCGGTTCTGGCAGGGTACCGCGTAAATGTAGAAATGCGTAAAGTGAAACCGCAGGGTTCACTGTACTACAAAAAACAATGTTTTGTTTATTCTAGGAGATGGGCTGAGGTGCAGCTGGGAAGACTCTCAGTCTTTTTAGTATTTTGTGTTTCTCTCAAGTATCAAACTAAATTATTCCATTGAAACAACACTTCGATTTAGTGGGAATTTGGTTTAAAGCGACCTCTCTTGGAACGTATCGTGTTATATCGACGTTCTACTGTACAACACAGTATAGTATTATGTATATACCTCATAGGTAAAAAATAATGTCATTCAAGACATTCAGGTCATAAGACCCACTAATCCCCCACCCAAAACTGGGTAACCTGACATTGCATCAGGTCAGGTTAGTATCATGACCCAATAATCTTCCACCCAACCTTCATCGCAAGTGTTAAGACATGATTAGTTATGTATTACAGCCAATTGAGTGAAGTGTGTAACAAAGAGTTGACTGATCGCCCAAGCGACTTACGAGCTGATCAGTGGTGAAGAGGATAAAGTAACAGCTCTATTCACGCCCGTATCATATAAAGCTTATGTTTTTCAAATATATTTATTTAACCAAACTTTTTGATAAAGTATTCAGGATTATTTTGATAAAAAAATGGTGTCTAATGAAATTAGAATTGATTTTACTGACTCCGGTATCAACATTTCTTAAGTTTTATACAGTGAACCCTCACTTTACGCGGTTAATTCAACCCACGGCGGCCCGCGTAAAGTGAGAAACGCGTAAAGTGAACAACATAACATATGGGATTAATTGAAATAGAGACCGGGCCGACCCTCAAACTCCACTTTTTCCTGACACAATACGTACGTTTTACTAAAAATAACATCTTAACTTTATGATGGTATTCACCCACACATAATATAGAAGGGAACAGTCAATAAACTGAGGGTTAGGTTAGAAAAAAACAAGGTTGGGGTTAACACTTACGTTAGTAGAAGAGATGGGTCGGCGTACGGGAATGGAGGCTGGTTCCGAGGCAGAGGGCAGGCTACTGGCCCTCAGGTGAGTCACCATCACTGTCATCCACACTTGCCAGGGCCTCCCTGACAAATCCCTCAAAGTCATCATCACTGTCTCTACCTCTGTCACTATCACTGGCTTGGGCTGGCTGTGGTGGGTTGCGGGCGAAGAACTCTGTTATGCTTTGCTGACGGCAGGTGTTTATGTTGTCGTGATAAACCTTGATGTAGGGCTCCATAGTCCGCAACAGCTGGGTAGTGAAGATTTCATACCTGTTTGCGTCAGGGTCGTCGGAAAGGAGGAGCTTGGCTTTCTCGATACACTCGATGGCACCCCTAACATTACTATGGGATAAGCGGCGTTCTTCTTGGGATGACTCGCCACCTGCCTCTTCACTGACGTCATCATCATCTACCATCTCGTCGGTAGTCACATCAGGATCCCTTATCACCTCCAGGATGTCGTCGTCGGTGGTCTCGGAGAAGCCTGCAGCTGTAACACTCTGCGCAGCTTCTCTGGCAAGGTCCACTGCTACTGCAACAGTCTGAACCTCACCAGTCACAGATTGACTCTGCCTAACGCCCGGAATGCCTTGCAACACATGTCTCCATGCGTGACGAACAGTTGCTACAGACAGCTGATCCCAT